TTTTTCTAATTTTGTAATTATTTTTACAAAACAAAACCATACAATTTGCTTTCAGTAAAGATATTTGTCATAGAAGACAATTTATAAACTTCTTAACACTGAACACTAATATCAATTTTGGGATTTTTCATAATTTGTATTCCCATTTTAGGCAATAAATATAGCTTAAATGGTACCTACCTACTAAATAGTACGACCCTTATTTATTAGGATTTTGGGATTTTCCCTAATTTACAATTCCCAGAATACGAATAATAGATATGTAGGTATGTATAGGTACCCATGCATTTATTAGAATTACAATAATTGATTTTTGTGATGAGGTACCAAATAATATTTTACTTATGCTAATAAATTATTCACTCTATTGTTATCAATAATGATTTTATTAAAAATATAAAAATACGAAATGTACGAATATGAAAAAAGTTAAAAAAATTACTTAATTACGGGCCAAAAATAATAAATCAGCTACCCCGCATGCGTTTACTAATAATTCTTGAGAGAACACGGCGTTCTCCTACAAAATACCAGTAGAACGATATTCCTACGACTTTCGTAGGAAGTGAACGTTCCTATGACTTCAAGAATACGGGCTTAGCGAATTTCAGGAGAAACACGCCCTCTATTCCTATAGGAACGCCGTTCCTACGACTCAAGAATACGGTCCCTGGTAGCCTACCAGTGGGTTTTGACAGGTTATGATATGGCAAAATTATGGCAACCCTGTAGGCCTGGTGATTTGACAAGATCAATGAAATAGATAGTTACATAGATTGATCATCCATATTTTTCAAAATAAACACAAGCTTATGCCTTGAAGTAAAAATATAAGTAATTATTATTTTTTAAATATCTAAAGGCTGAAAATTGGTTTTAAAACACATTTTTGCTAAACCGATTCAAATTAATAAATATTTGCCAGGCAATATGGCCGCTCGCAAACGGCCAGCTTTGAGCAATCTATGGGGCCTATTCTGTAACTATAGTTGTTATCTGGCAACTTTCTAACCACTTGCTATCTTACCACTTTCATAGCAACTGTATATAACAACTTTAACAAAAGTAGCTATTCTATTATTCACGATTTCTAAATTAGTCTATGCTGTATAATACAGTTATGCTACCGACCAAGTTATTGCTATTAGTCCAAGAGCTAGTAACACACATTCCATTAAGTGTTTGATGCACTTTAAAATTTTGTAATTTGAAATCATTTGGATGGAAAAGCAGAGATACCTGTGTTGGCTAGACCCACCCCGGGACACCAGGTACTGCGCACAATAGAAAGGGGTCGTAAAATATGACCCAAAAAAAGTGTTTGATTCAGAGGCCAACAAACAACAATTGAAAGTTTAGGTAATTCTAAAAATACTAGTAATTTAGGCAGACACTTTTGAGAGGGTTTATAATTAATAAATCAACCCCAAAGTTGATTTTTTTTTAAATATGATTTGAAGTGTTTGATTCACGCTGAAATTTTTATAGCGTCTTAATTAAATATAAAAAAAATTAATTCCAAAAAGGCAGACACTTTTTCCGGGATTTAATTGCCGGCCAACATAAAAATGAATGAACCTCGTTATGCGCCACTATGCATTGAATAAGTATATACTTTTTAAAAACTAAACATTTTAAATTACCAAGACTGTGAAATAATAAAACAATAATATTTTTCTTTTTTTTTATGAAAAAAAAAAAAAACTAAAAGTTTCGGGGCTCGAACCATCAACTTGCTATCCACACTATCCAAATTTTGATAGTATAATAAGTATATACTTATTCAATGCATAGTGGCGCATAACGAGGTTCATTCATTTTTATGTTGGCCGGCAATTAAATCCCGGAAAAAGTGTCTGCCTTTTTGGAATTAATTTTTTTTATATTTAATTAAGACGCTATTAAAATTTCAGCATGATTCAAACACTTTAAATCATATTTAAAAAAAATCAACTTTGGGGTTGATTTATCAATTATAAACCCTCTCAAAAGTGTCTGCCTAAATTACTAGTATTTTTAGAATTACCTAAACTTTCAATTGTTTGTTGGCCTCTGAATCAAACACTTTTTTTGGGTCATATTTTACGACCCCTTTCTATTATGTTTAGTCGTTTTAACCTGTCAGATTAAAACAAGAAAACCGACAATTCCGAAGCAGAAGCAGATGATTAAAACGCACCTATTAAAAATATTGCGCCAAGATGTAGGCAACACGTAATAAGGGTTCAAAATGGCGGAGTTTTCTATCTCCTTTTAAAAGGCACTCAGAAAGCTGCGCAGTGCGACAATTCCCGTATAGTAAAAGAAAATCAAAGTATGTGTACAGAATAGACTACTATACATATAACTATATTATGTATCATTAACCCTGTCAATGACAACAGGGTTACCATATCCAAACTGTCAGTCCCCTCTGGTAGCCATTTGGACAGGCCGTCGATTCTCGAGCTTGGAAGATGTGAGCGTTCCTATAGGAGAGGTGAATGATCACATCCTACATCGTTTCTCTCAACATGGTTTGACCATATTCTCGAAACCTGGTGAACTTGATCAAACGGGGGAATAAAGTGCACGGTGTTGCCAACTCTAATATCTTCTTCTTGATTTTTATAGACATTTGAACTATATTTTGTTAACTGAATACAATTTTGTGATAATAAAAGAAGAAAATTTTAAAATTGTTAACTTCACTCTTCACCTATCAGTATTGAATGATATATTTGGAGAATATTAATTATGAATTTGAAATTAAGAGGTCGTTTCGTAGGAGTTTTCTATAATATGATAAAAATATAATTTTTTTTTATTAAAGGCATAGAAGAGAGAAAACAAAAAATACGCGCATTACAGAGTTACACTTTTTTTAAGATACTTAATTAAAAATTAAAATTTGCAAATTAGAAATTTAAACTATAGTCAATTTTGTTTTAAATTTTGTGCTAAAGAAAAGTAAGTTTGTATTAATATCAAATAAATAATTTTATTATTAAAAATTCGATAAAGAAAATGCAATACATATGTTTATAACTATATAGATTAGACTAATAATTATATAAACTAGTGTGACCGCCTCATAGAAATTTGAAGTATTTACCAACTGACTTATGTTATATAAATGGTTATAATTTAGTTCGAAAAAATTTTTATAATTTTGTTTGCAACCTAAGGAATCTGCAACTCTTAATTATTATCCTTCCTTTACTCTACCTACTTTAACTAACTGTAGCTTAACTAGATTATTGTCAATACTTAGTACTTTATTTCAACTTTTCAAATATCACTTTCTCAGTTTAATGGGGATTAAATTAACATTTTTAACAATCATTCTTTGTGTTTTTCTAATTTTGTTATTGTTTTTACAATTTGCTTTTAGTAATGATATTTATTGTAGAAGATAATTTATAAACTTCTTAACACTGAACACTAATATCAATTTTGGGATTTTTCAGAATTTGTATTCCCATTTTAGGCAATAAATAAGCTTAAATGGTACCTACCTACTTAATAGTAAGACCCTTATTTATTAGGATTTTGGGATTTTCCCTAATTTACAATTCCCAGAATAGGAATAATAAATATGTAGGTACTACCCAAACCCATGCACTTATTAGAATTACAATAATTGAGTTTTAGATTAGGTACCAAATTTTAATTATGCTAATAAATTATTCAGTCCATTGTTATCAATAATGGCTTCATTAATAATATAAAAATACGAAATGTAGGAGTAATATTAAAAAAGTTTAAAAAATTACTTAATTATGGGCCAAAACTAATAAATCAGCTACCCCGCATGCATTTACTAAGAATTCTTGAGAGAACACGGCGTTCTCCTACGAAATACTAGTAGAACGATGTTCCTATGACTTTCATAGGAAGTGAACGTTCCTAGGACTTCAAGAATACAGGCTTAGCAAATTTCAGGAGAAACACACCCTATATTCCTATAGGAACGCCTTTCCTACGACTCACGAATATGGTCCCAGGTCGTTGGAATGCCTAATTGATCTGTAATACTTCTCAATAAATAATTAAAATACTACCAACTCTGAAGAAAACAAAATTGCGAGTCATACAATAAACCTGTGGAAGAGGATAATTAAAAATTGGACAGCTTTATAGTTATTTAAATCTTATGAAAATCTGATAATATTTAAAGCATTTAAATTATTGCTATATCAGCATTATTATTTTAATAATTTATCTCCATATTAAGGGAAATATACTTGTTGATATCAGCTTGTTGTTGTTTTGTTTTAAGTAGTAAAAAAAAACTAGAAGTAAAAACAACACCAGATTGGATGTCATTATTATGTTTAACATGCATCCACTTGTTTAATTTGATAATGAAATTGAATGAGGCATTTTGGTTTAAAAATGAATGTCAACAAAAACAAACTGATTCCATTTCATCTTTATTTACATGGACCACTAATTTTGACAGATATAGGGGTCTATTCTGTAACAATTCCTTTATATTTAATGGCCTTTAAAAATATTGGCGGCCCTTAAAAATAGTTTCTTATTCATTAATTTACTTCTATCATTATTTAAACAGATTTCTTTATGATAGTCCTCTAATGTATTTTAAAGATCCGTTTAAATAATGACAGAAGTAAAGGAGAAAATATTTTTAAAGGCCATTAAATATAAAGGAATTGTTACAGAATAGACCCCAAACACAGCCATTGTAGTCTGTCATAAAGTGTCTTTTGACTTAACTGAGACTCTCAGCTGGTAACAGAATGTCTCAAAACTCTTTTTAAATAAATATCAGAAATATTTCATCTCTAGATCCAGACCTGTCTTTATATGATTTTATGAATACAAATACAATATCACTTGCTCACTGCCTGACACGTGGGTGATAACACTTTAAAAGTTATAAACATAAATAAAACAATAAAATTTACAAATTACAAACAACGCGTGAATATTGAAATCAATAAATCAAATGATTTGTTTCAATTTAAAATGTTAATGTTTACGAGTAGACTTACCTTCTTCTGGATACCCTGGACCAAGGTCTGGCAAAACTGTATGTGGACTGGTGGCTACTGACACTGGCAAAAGACCTACCACTGGATCCTGCACTAAAATGCGCGTTTATCTACAACAAACACGTGAAAAATTAGAACAAAAAATACAATGGCGCAGTTATAATTATAAACAATGAAAAAGGTTAGGCTGTTACCTGCTTGAAATGATCCTCTTTCTGTTTGTAAACACCGTCTACAGAACTCGAACACACATCGTTCCTCTTAGTTGTTGTATTTCCCATGAAAATTAACGTGGAAATGTACTTTCCAAACTTTCGTATTCAACATCTCAGCTGTGATGACCTCAAAAATCAGGTAGTAAACCTTTTGTTGGTTTTGCCTATTTTATGATATGATTGATGACAAACAAATCTAAACTGGATATTTCTTTCTTCGTCACACTCTCTTTGTGTTTAATGCGATTCGCACTTGACTGCATCAAATGAAGAGAGAAAGCATAACGTGCATCATCAATGATCTGTCACTTGCCAACTGTGTTGTTCGAAAACGTCAAATCAATACAATGCTATATAGTTATATAGATGGTCGTCCATATATATAAATCAGATGACGAAAAGCATTGGGATAAGTTTTTTCTTTATCTACATGTTTATATTTTCTCTAAATTTTGAGTAACCAGTTGTAGACAAAATAATTTACAGATCCGGTTTAGAAATTAGAATTTTATGTGTTTTTTGCCATTAAGATTTTTACAGATATAAAATGTACACGATAAATAGTAAATATAATTAATAGTGTATACCTGTTAATTAAAATTAGTGTAGGATGTTACTATGAAGTTACAATGTCCAATTTGACAAAAAATAGCATGGTCTTATTTATACGGCAGCAATTTGTAAATTTAATTTCATTCAATAATCAAGTGAACTTTGTTCTGTATAAATAATATTAATTAATATTATATTATTGTAATAAGCATCAGTAAAATTAAAAGTTTTGATAAAATGTATTTGTTTTAAGTAGATTTAGGGCGATTCCATCGTTGTGTCAAACGAAGTTTAAATTACTATCCGAAGATTAAAATGACATTATATATCTATAGTTATTATTTTATAGAACCGTGCTAATGTGTTCAAATTGTATTGTATTTGTAAAAACAATAACGTTCAATAATTAATATTACGCGTTGGGGTCCAGAATTAAAAATAATTATTTTACCAATAGGAATTTTGACTTTTTATTATTATTATTTTTATTTTACTATACCGACCTACAATATCCACTAGGTAGCAATTTTGTAGCAATTTTAGGCAACTAGTAAGTAAGAAAATCTGCTTTTTCTCTTAATATATGTTTAAATATTGAGGTTCCATACAGACAGATTTCAACAAACGGAAGATTAATATCTGTCTCGGAAATTCGCTTGCGTTTCCATTTATTTTATTTTAAATTAACCAACTAATTTTTATTCATCGCTGAAATAAACCATAATTAAGACGTTGCAATTATTGTCAAAAAAGATTGCAATAAACTTTAAAATATTGAAAATCTATAATATAAACTATACAACTATAAGTAAAATCATAGTAACATTAACATTTAAACAATACTCAAAATAAAAGATAATAAAATATAGAGTGGTTACATCACACATCACTTACCAAAGTTATTTATATCTGATATGAAAGTTATTTACACATACCTTTTTAAAGTTGTATTGCATATTGCAATTATGTGTTTCATATAGTGTTATTTCTGAAACGAGAGTGGTCTAAAATTGTTTACATTTACCTGTTATAAAAATTGTTTAGATCTCTTATAATATTTGACTATATGGAAAATCAACTTTAGAACACAAAAAAAGATATTTTCAAAATACCTAACGTAATCGTATCTTGAAGTAAAAATTTAGGTAATTTTTTTTAATATTTAAATGCCGAAATTTTATTTTAAAACACATTTTGGCCAGAACGGTTCTGTTCAGTGAGTACTTGGAAAGGCAATATAGCAGCGCCCAATTGTGACCCGCTTTTCGTAGTCTTATTTACATATGGCAGAACAATCTATATATTTATATATCATTGAACCAATATTGCACTATCAAATGTACTAGAATTGCAATATTTTGGAATTTCAAATATTTCAATCAACAATAAAAGGGAGTTAAAAATTAAATTATAAAGGAACTAAACAAAGACGAGTTAGTTTATAGGAGCATGAATAAACCACCGACACAATAAACTAAACAGATCTAATACTTATTTTTGAAACACGTGCCAAGGCCAAGGACAGTGGCGACATGTTTGGCAAAAAGTACCAAGTACATACGGTCGGTAATACAGGTTTCATTTTATTATTTGCATTGATATTTAGTTTAATACAAAGAGTGCGCTACACAATTAAAAAAAAATTTGAAAATTAATAAAATCGACCATTTGGCACAATTACTATAACAATATTTTTTATCCGTTGAGAATCAAATTATCCGAGTCTAACATTGAATTACATATGTTTTTGTTATTACTTAATTACAGATATAGATAACTAGATTCTAAACTTTATTTCCATGTCTTAGGACCGATTCCACCGTTGTGTTAAATGAAGTTTAAAGTGACATATTTACATTCAATGTCATCTTAATCTCCGTTTAACACAACGGTGGAATCGACCCTTAAGGGCCGATTCCACCGTTTTACTAAGGACCGATTCCACCTCCTGTTAAACGAAGTTTAAAATGACATTTTTAAATTAACAATGTCATTTTAATCTCCGTTTAACACAACGGTGGAATCGACCCTAAACAAATATGAAACTGACGTTTTTACATTAACAACGTAATTTTAATCTTCGTTCAGTAATTTAAACTTCGTTTAACACAATGGTGAAATCAGCCCAAAACTCTTTATAGCCGAATCCACCGTTGTGTTAAACGAAGTTTAAAATGAAATTTTTACATTAACAATGTCATTTTAATCTACGTTTAACACAACGGTGGAATCGGCCCTAAACGAAGACTAAAATGACATTGTTAGTGTTCACACAAGGGTGGAATCAGCCCCATGGAGATCAGCCCTTATAGTAAATATTAAAGTTAACGTCGTTTGTTAAATAATTATAAAGAAAATAAACATTGATTTTAAATCGAGTCTCTTATAGGGCCGATTCCACCGTTGTGTTAAACGGAGATTAAAATGACATTGTTAATGTAAAAATGTCATTTTAAACTTCGTTTAATACAACGGTGGAATCGGTCCTTAGGATAATTATCTTCATACAACGGTTAAACGGAGATTCGGTGGAATCGGTCATTGTTGACTGTTGTTGACTGTTGAGTGAAGTGACAAGGACAAGTGACAGTCTTTTTTTACGATGTTGGCGATGGCAACACTGTATACGTTAACTTCAGAAAACTTAAAGCCAAATTATTGAATTTCCAAAGATTTAAGTGTTTTCTTTAGTCATTATTATTTAATCAGTCTCCAGTGTTAAAAATAATTTATCATCAAGTATTAAAAAAAATTGTGTTGAATGTTTTGACGTTTTGAGGTTATAATAATAGAAATGTCATAGCAAAGAAGGTCATACCTACTTTATTATCAATTATTAGAAAAATGATTATAGTGCGTTTTTTTAAATACTTACCTACTTATCGCACGTAAATTCTAGATATGAAATTTTGAAACAGTTTACAGACTTCATCATTAAAGATATTAAATGGATCTACCAGAACTTCAAGATGTACCTGATGGCGACAAAGGTGCGGATTTTTATTTACACAAACTAAAAGCATCCGAATTTGCATCAATAAACGATTTTTTAGATTTGCAAGCTCAAATACACGGATTGTTGGAAGAAAAGAAACAAATTCAAGAGGAATTTAACATCCAAAGGGCTAAGCTGAAAGACTTGTTCCTTTTAAAAGAAGGTAAGCACATTCAAATAATGTCCTATATCTGATTATTGTCTAAATTATTTGATGAAAAATATCTAGTTTGAGCTCTTTTCAATTATGGAAAAACTAAGCATACACACTATTCTAAACAAAAAACAAGTTCCATATCTTGTGCAAATATACAAATAGGCCATCTTATTCAATTAATGTTATCAATTTTACAGGAAAGGAAGTGAATAAGGGTGCTGGATGGGTAAAACGATGTCAATAGTTATAATATTATGAAAAAAATATTAGAAATTAATTGTTCTACTTTTGATAATAAATAATTGGATAGTAAATATTTTGTGCGACTTGGCAACAGTATAAGATACAAAAGTAGCAGCTCTGAGCTTTAATTTAAGATAATTTGTGAAATATTTTTATTTAAAAGAAAATTAATTACCTATGTCATTAAGGACCGATTATACCGTTGTGTTAAACGGAGATTAAAATGACATTGTTAATGTAAAAATGTAATTTTAAACTTCGTTTAACACAACGGTGGAATCAGTCCTAATTTGCACAAGATGTGGAACTAAGATTTTTTGTTTACAATACTGATAGGTATCTATCTTAGTTTTTTCATGAGCAAAAAGAGCTCAAACTAGATAATGATCTATTTTATTTTAGCTGAATTGGCTAGGAAAATTGAGGAAAATGAAAAACTTAGTGGAGAATTAGCTAAATTAAAAAATGAGTTAGATGATTGTAAAAGCCAATTAGTTGTTGATAGTATGACTCTGGAGTCTACTTTTGAAGTGGAAAAGAGAAAGGCTGACGAAGAAATAGCTTCTTTACAAAGATTAGTACATGGTAAGTCAAATTAGGATATTTATTAAATAATATTGATTAATAATGGGTGTATTTTTAGAAACTGTAGAAGAATCGAGTTCAACTAGATCTTTGTATGATACGGAATTGAAAAAGTTAGATAATTATATACAACAGCTTCAAAAAGAAATTAGTGATTTAAAACGGGAGAAGAAAGAAGAGTCACCACATCACATATCACAGGTTGGTGCAATGAGTAACTGAAAAAATAAATATTAATACTTACAAATTGTCATGCTCAAAAATTGTGTCTTGTAATGGTGTAGTCCAATTTTTATTCTGTTCTATTTATATTAATTGTATAAACATTACCAAAAAGCACGCCACCATTATCTTATATCCTGTGTTGTCCTGAAATATGTCTGCTCATATTTTGGGTGACAAAAAGTTATAAAACGTAGCAGTAATGCCGATCGACCTTTGTCCTTACAACTTTTATTCTGTATTATATTTCTATTAATTGTATGAACATTCAAGTTTCTTCACCAAAAAGGCACACTAATCATTATCCAGTGTTGTCCTGAAATATGTCTCCGCTTATTTCGGGTGACCAAAGGTTATGAAACTTAGCACTAATGGCGACCTATTGTCCTTTCAACTTTTATTATGTGTTATATTTATATTAATTGTGAAATAAACATTCAATATCCTTTACCAAAAAGCACACTACACTAACCTGCATCCTGTGTTGTCCTGAAATATGTGTCCCCATATTTTGGGTGTCAAAAGGTTATTTATTTAATTATTTTATAAACTGTTCTACAGGAAATTCCCAATTAAAGAACAGGTAAAATATGACAAAACAAATACATCGGACAAATATAAAATAAAAAAAATTTCAAACAGAATATAGATTTAAGAAAGAAAAAAAAACAGACTATTTAAAACGATAAAATAATCACAAAAGTAAATGTTAAATATATCCAACGCAGAGTTTATGCTGTTGCAATTACTACACATGGCATATAATGAAGATTTGCTTATATAAAACTTTGCAGTAATGCTGACCTTTGTCTTTCAACTTTTATTATGTTTTATATTTAAATCAATTATGAAATAAACATTCAAGATTATTTACCAAAAAGCACACCACACTATCCTGTGTTGTCCTGAAATATTTCTTCCCATATTTTGGGTGACAAAAGGTTATAAAACTTAGCAATAATGCTGACGTTTGTCCTTTCAACTTTTATTCGGGATTATATTTATATTAATTGTGAAATAAACATTCATGATCCTTCACTATTCTGTGTCCTGTGGTGTCCTGAAATATTTCTGCCCATATTTTGGGTAACAAAAGTATACAACTTAGTAATAATGTATATATTTGTTCTTAAACTTTTATTCTATGTTATATTTATATTAATTGTGAAATAAACATTTAAGATCCTTCCCCAAAAAGCACACTAACCACTATGTTATGGCCTGTGTTTTCCTGAAATATTTCTACCCATATTTTGGGTAGTGGTAATTTTTTTATTTATTAGTTCTTTTATTATTTTAAAATTAATTTTTGTTTTATTTATTATTTCATATTTTATAATATATACTTCATTAGAAATAAAAATCTATATGTGTTTGAAGTCGCCAACACAGAATACCTAACTAAAAATCGGGTAAAATCTCGGCTTTGGCAAAACTGAATTTAAAACCGACGTCGCGCCCTCTTCAATAAAACACCACGTGACAACACACTGGAAAATAAAAAATGAACTTAGCAGTGTCCATACATAAAATAAATCGACTTTTTTGGATTGATAATGGCGACAACGCCGACTACCCGCAACTAGCCAGATTTTTTGACAGCGGTTCCTGAAAAAAACTAAATTCTTGGTTACTTTTGGATCACGGCCGAGATTATGAAGACTAGCGAGAAGGAGGCGAATCGGCAAGGGTCAAATTTCCGTCCGTCTTTTTATAAAGTTCGCGAAAGTGACTGTAGTTGGCATGTCTAATGACAGGGCAGTCAATTTTCTATGTAAGTCAATGTACAATTAGGCATTCCAACGACCTGTCAAACAATAGGTGCCAGTGGGAAATTCTTGTATATTTAAGGGAGTAGCGACATAGTCTTGCAACTTGGACCCTATTTTTATTCGAAGTAGTACTCGCCAAGCCTGCCAATTTATGAAGAAATGTATAGGTGGGTTTTTTAAATATTATTTTTATTGTGTTTGACATAAAATATTTAAATGTAATCCATTATTCATGATTTTACGTAAAGTAGATAGAGTACACCATATGTCGCCACCCTTAGATATACCAAACCTGCCCACTGGTAATTCATTTGTTTGGAATGCCTAATAAAGTGATTTTTTAAAAAATTGGTGAAAAGAATCAAAATAATGTGACAGAAAGTACCTGAGTACAAGTAACATGAGTGACAAAAAACATCAAAGCAAGATTTACGTCGTTCCAGATTGTAAAACAGGATACAAATCAAATGTAAAACTAAAAAAACACAAGGAGAAATCAATTCAATGTCTTTATAATGCTTCTCATGTAAGTAAAATGTATTTATGTCTAAATATATTTAATGTAAACTAGTCACAATATGTATCTTACGGAGTGTAGTTTATTTTATTACAAGTTTCTATAATATAAAATTTTACAGTCATAGTTACTGACAACAATAATTATATATTAAATGTAACTTACTAGAAAAGAAAATTTATTTTTTATAGAGTTTTAATGTTAGATAAAGAGTTGCTACTGTTATTTTTTTGTTGAACCCCAATTGTGTCATTGTAAATGTTTTTTATAGGATACTAAACGCTTAGAACAGTGGCAGAATGTATATATCGTTCCTAGTGCCGATAAAGCACTTTCTAGACATGATGCTGTTCTATACTTTTTAGAAGATATCAAATATTATGAGACTATTTTTACTGATGGTACTGTTAGCAAAATAAAATGGGGGAAGCTGAAATTAAAGGATGAGGTAATACCATGTAAATTCCCAAATCTCCCTTTATACTTGTATTATAACAATAAAAAAAATCTGTTAACTGTGTTTTATTTTGTTCCTAAAACTATATATAGGTTCAATTCAAAAATATTTTGCCACAAAATTGTACTTAATTGTATTTAATAAATTTAATAAATTTAATAAATTTAATAAATTTAATAAATTTAATAAATTTAATAAATTTAATAAATTTAATAAATTTAATAAATTTAATAAATTTAATAAATTTAATAAATTTAATAAATTTAATAAATTTAATAAATTTAATAAATTTAATAAATTTAATAAATTTAATAAATTTAATAAATTTAATAAATTTAATAAATTTAATAAATTTAATAAATTTAATAAATTTAATAAATTTAATAAATTTAATAAATTTAATAAATTTAATAAATTTAATAAATTTAATAAATTTAATAAATTTAATAAATTTAATAAATTTAATAAATTTAATAAATTTAATAAATTTAATAAATTTAATAAATTTAATAAATTTAATAAATTTAATAAATTTAATAAATTTAATAAATTTAATAAATTTAATAAATTTAATAAATTTAATAAATTTAATAAATTTAATAAATTTAATAAATTTAATAAATTTAATAAATTTAATAAATTTAATAAATTTAATAAATTTAATAAATTTAATAAATTTAATAAATTTAATAAATTTAATAAATTTAATAAATTTAATAAATTTAATAAATTTAATAAATTTAATAAATTTAATAAATTTAATAAATTTAATAAATTTAATAAATTTAATAAATTTAATAAATTTAATAAATTTAATAAATTTAATAAATTTAATAAATTTAATAAATTTAATAAATTTAATAAATTTAATAAATTTAATAAATTTAATAAATTTAATAAATTTAATAAATTTAATAAATTTAATAAATTTAATAAATTTAATAAATTTAATAAATTTAATAAATTTAATAAATTTAATAAATTTAATAAATTTAATAAATTTAATAAATTTAATAAATTTAATAAATTTAATAAATAAATATAATAAATTTAATAAATTTAATAAATTTAAATTTAATAAATTAAATAATATTAGCAGATGAGAGCCGTACCAGAAATGTGGTATAAAAAGAGATTATCAATTAGATTACTATATTTAAATATTAATATTAAGTCATGCATTATTTAAAACACGACTCCACGCGTACGAAGCCGCAGACAATAGCTATACTCTATATAAATAAGAAAACTGCCAAATAATTTGCCAGGGGGGCAACTGCCCCCTCTAGCGGCGCCCATGACCCTATCAATTTCTGAATTGAAAAACTTTACAATTTCCTATAGCTTACAAAATTTATTAGTATTAATAAGATTGTGTATATTATAATATATTACCATTTTCCTATTCCAGAACATCGAACCATTTTTTTTTTCTAAAATGTATAGTGATTATTATGTAATTTTAAATTTCAAAAATATGTGGAACTTTTCGAATACAATCACCAACAGGTCTACTTACTGTTATAATTGGATATGTATACAATCTACTGATTTAAATAAATTAATTTAATCGGCCCACCAGTCGGTTTTTTATAATTTTTTTATCGCCGATAAAACCAGATTATATTTCATTTATTTGTTGTGGTTCTAGCGGTAATGTATTTAATATTTGGTAAACTTTTGTCAACACAAACATTTCTTGTAGCGTTTCCGTACAAATAATTGATTAGTTTTTAGTAGTTTTATCTGTAAATAGTCGTGTTACGCGTATGGAATTTTAATTAGGATAGTTAAAAAAAAGTTTGTGGAAATTGTGATAGCGGTGTGTTTTGTGGTTATTTCAGTTTTTAGTTGGTTTTGTCGAACGCAAGCAGCAGGTTTTCAAAATGGACGTCATGGAAATTATTAGGGCAAGTTTTTGGTTTTCCTAAACTTATAAATTAATAATAATAATAATAATAATGTATTTATTTATACAGGATGCTCGTTAAGTATGTGGCCAAACTTTAAGGTACTCTCGCTTACTCATTTTTAAGACAAAAAGTTCATATATAAACGGCTTTATTTTCAAAATATACAAAAAAAAGTTTTCCTAAATATTTATAAGACGAAAATTGGTAGCAAGTTAAAACTTGGTGAAAAGTTTTACTACGAAGAGTCGTTTTACCAGTGGCGCGCACGCTGGGGTTACTATTAAAACAGATTCCTAAGGATAACAGGTTGGTCCAAATAC